GGCTTTAAAACAAGTACAAGATCATGTTTCTAGCATTTGTGGTTGATGAGTTATAGCCGTTCAAAGGTAACCAATCATACTTGCGTTTCTTTTGGTAGCCACTGTAAGCATTTGTAAAATACTGATACTTATTTGCTAGTGACTTATATATTAGTTTCTTGTTAAACTTAGGGCTAAAAAAAGGTTTGATGATTCATTTTACTCTAATACAATATTGATGCTTTTTTTTGAAAAAGGTTTTGCAGTAAAAGTGTTAAAAAAATTGAATATATTATGAAGATCTGAAAATAGTTTTTGTAGATACGAAAAACTTTCTTCCTGTGGCAACGTGATCATTATGGGACACATTTCATATGATTATCAGTGTATAACTAATAGAACACTAACGCAATTATAGAATTCTTTGATTTTTAGAACACAATTTTAGATTTTAAAACATTTATTTATAATACAATTTTATTTTAAAACATATTTTAAATTTTCTGACTGAAATATTTAAGCCATTCAATAATAAAATTTTTTAGTTTATTTCTTCAACTGATGTATGATTCTATAAAAGGTAAATAATCTATATATACATGATCAGAATATTTTACCTAAGAGTGGAGGGGTAAATGCTAATAATAAAATTTTATTAGGTAATAAATGTCACTGCCCTTAACATATGAAAATATACTCAATAGTGTATTGAATACATTGGGTAGTATATAATTAATAAAATATATATTCATTGTAGGTTTGAATATATTTTTCAATATAATAGAACTTAACTAATTGAGGTATGAATATACTTTGTGATATATAAAAGAACCATTAACTTACTGAGACAACTATTAGATTACTACGTAAACTTAAAAAAATCACCACTCGAACATCCTGTTTAACTATCGTAATTTGCAAGGATTGCACATTAACATTTGATGATAATGACAGGACCTTCTTTTTCTATTAGCATAGTAATATATAACTAGATTACTTGAATAGTATAAATACATTTTGAAGACTTTTAGCAATAACATATTTTGAAGACTTTTAATATAAAATATATTTTGAAGACTTTTAATAACTATATTTAGGATGTATAAATACATTTTGAAAAGTTTTAACATATTTTAAAGATTTTTAGCATTAACACTATATTGATAACTACATTTAGAAAGAGATTGTAATTTGAATAATTTTGTATAACAATGTATTGCCAAAGATATTATCAAGTTTAGCTTATTTGTAACAGATAAAATTTTTAAAAAACTGATCACGTGATATTGCAAATAATATAATATTAGTAGATAAAATAATATTTATTTAGTAATTTAGAGGAAATAACAAGAATGAAAGCGAAAGTATTAACAGTATGATTGGCAGTTCTTAAAATAATATGAATTTATAACAATTATCATCTTTTAAACAGTTTTGTGTAGTTAAATACGTAGTAATTTATTAAAAAAAATTTTTTTTAATTCAATTGATCTTCACAAGAAATAAGGCATACTAGGAATTGATAGCGATTACTATTCTCTACAAGTTGATTTTGAATAAAGTTGAAATATTTTCAAAGTTGTTCTAAGGTCTCTAAGTTGACATTTCCTTCTTGACGGACAAACTGGAAATCATCATTAAGCTTTCTATAATTCTCTTAAAGTTTTTGATTCTTATCTTTTTTTTGAATCAAATCTTTTCTCAAACAGTTACACTCAAGAAAAAATTTAGCAGTTTGATCCAAAGAAGCTGATAATTGATTTTTCAAAGTTAATATTTTATTTAAAGATCTTTTTTGACCTAAACTTCCTTTTGATCTTTTTGACATAAACCTTTAATTTAATAAAAGGGAAAAGTATTAGCTATTGCTGCAGTTAACTAAATAAGATCAAATAAATCGTCACTATTGCTAGGAAACAGCATAGGTTATGTATATTCAAAGCTCATGATAAACCAGCATATATTTTATATAATTAAAGTTTCCAGACCAAACTATTCTTAAATTTACCTGTCTTACTTTAAGAATTTTTTCACTTCTAAACTGTCTATATTGAGCAAAACTCTAGTGTTGAGAGGAAGGAGACTTCTTTTTGTTTATGCAAGTCATTTTTGAAAATATTATGAATTTAAAAATCTACAATAATTTTGCTTGAGAGATAAAAATTTTTGTGAAAATAAAAGAGATTTTAGAAAGAATATTTATAGATGAAAGACGTATGTAAAATTTTTTAAGATCACGAAAATTCACCTTCTGCAGAAAAATAAATAAATAGTTATTAGTCCAAAATTGTTATTGATCATTACATAATATTTTAAAAAATATAAACGTGTTTTATCAATGATCATATAATATAATACCTCTTTAATCAATATTTCTTATTTTAGTATAAATTTCAGAAATTTTAGTAAGCAGCATAATTTTAAAGTTCAATAAAATGTAGGCAAAAGAATCAGGAAATATGAAAATACTAGTTTTTCTAAAAAAAGAAATTGTTCATAATAATTATATAGTTTATACATTGAAAAACAGTTTAATAATATAATTAGTTAATCAGAAGATAATTTTAGATTTATACTCAGCAACTCTCTCGTGATAAATTACTTAACTATTAGATTTTAATAGACTTGCCTAATATGAAAAAAGATTAACATATTATAAATAAAGATCATTTTATGTAGTAGAATTGATTAAACGGTAATATAAATCACATGAATATAGCAGGATATTTGTGAAGATTTTTTATATTTTTATTTATTTAGACAATTTTAAAAGGGCAAAAATGCAACGATATGTAAAAATTTTATTGAGAGATAAAAAGATAACAAAATACATCAATATAGAAGAAAAGAAAATATATTTATAAGAAGCTATCTATGACAACTATTACTAGCTATAAAAGCTAAAGAGAGAGAGCATAGTCTATAGAATGGCTAAAAAGGCAACGACAAAGCATAGTTCTATGACAGACAAAAATGCCAATAACATCTCTCTCTGATAAAATATTTAGTAGTAAATTAATCATTAAGAGGCACGTGATAAGAAAATTAAATTCTTCACTTCTCTGATGAAGTTGTTTCAATATTTTTCTAAAGTTTCTCTGGATTTAGTTTAAATTATTCTGAAGATTTTGGACTGATTAGATATCTTTATAACTTTGAAGGTGATCAACATCAGCTCTTGCACAATTGTATTGAAATAGAAGACCCTCATATTCTACTTTAAGGTCTCAATATTGACGCTTATTACAAGATAAATGAGAAGATAAATGATGAATTTCATTAAATAAACTATTTACTTAAGATAAAGAGGAATTTAATAGTTGTCGAAGCCTGTGATTTTTAATATCAAGTTCATCTATTCTTTGTTATTTTGTTTCTTCTTCTTGATTTCAAAGGTTGTATTGATGACATGTGAAAAATTGTTTACGAAAACTTTTGCTTATATTGAAAATATAAAAGCTAAAAATTTTGCAATAGTTTTAGTAAAACTGATAGAATTTGATGAAAACAGAAGAAATTTTTGGGCAAATATTATAACAAAATATTGTGGCTGTAAAAATTCTTAAGATCGTGAGAATTTTTCTTCCTGTAAAAATATAAATAAATAGTGATTGGTTTATTTTATTGATGATTATCACATACGATCATACAATCTATTAAATAGAATTTGTAATCTTATTACGTAATTAATTGATAAAATTTGTAATTTTATAGAACAAATTGAAACAATTTAGAATTTTTGTGAGAACTAAAATCTTAAGAAGGGAGTAATGTAACAGGACTATTATAATATAATTGATCTATATAGTGTATTATAAATAGTTACGTAAGTAATATAATTAATAGGATCGATTTAATAGATGTATTTAATTTATATAATACAAGAAAATGTAGATCCAAATATCAAATATGTCAAACATATTTGATATATTTGACATATTTAATATATTAAATTTACATTAAAAAGTATATAAAGGAGACTAAATTCTTGACAAGAAAGTAACTATCAATTGTTAGATGCAATTTGATCAGTTCAGTAATAACTATGTATAACCTTTTTTGTAAAGTAGTGCAAGGCTACTTTTTTCTATTTGTGATTAATTCTTCTTTTATATTTTCTTAGTTTAGTATTTTTAGCTTTTAGTTTATTTATTTATCAATAAATCTTTATTCGATTTACTTGAAACATTTTGTGATACTTGTATTTATAACGTAATTCACATTTAATTTTGACTTAACATATAGAAATATTAGGGATAAGCGTTAATTAACCTGATTAATTAATCGTTAATTAACCAAGGGATAATTAACCATTTTGGTTAATTTTGAATTGACCAATCAAATCAAAGAAAAATTGACTAATAAAATTGATAGATTAATATAAATAATAGGCCTGTTCATTTCCGGTTGGTCAGTTTTTTCATTCAGTTTTTGTTAAATTTGGTTGGACTGATCTTTTTGTATGACGTGAACTAATTCTGAACTTTAAAAACAAAAAAATTGGCATTTTTTTAGTTCAAAAAAAATAACGCATCACGTCAACCAACCAGAAGCGTGAGAAACAAAAATTTTCTCATCAAAAATTGTCAAAATGTCTTCTCACCAAGTTGACGCTAATGGTTTTCAAGGTTCTCAAAGTTATAAAAATAACCAAAATTTACGAAAATACAGACCTTTAGCTCTAAAGTTACCATATACTCAAATGGTTGATAGCTCTTCTTGGCAATTTTTAAATTTCCAATTAACATCTAAGTCAAGTACTCAAGTATTAAAACCAAGTACTCCGATGGTAGCTGCTGATATAAACATTCGAGTAATAGAAAGGTCAAACATTATCATTGATACTACTACAAGGGAAGACCAAATGATTATGATTCATTACATGAAACTAATGTTCTTCAGCCTAAGGAAAATACTGGTTTTTTGTTACATGATGTTAACTCTGAACTTGATCCCCG